GTCGGATATCAGTCCAGTTGTTGCAAGCTACTGAGTCCAGTCCGTGTGCTACCATTAAACACAGTTTTATTTTAGAAGAAATCCTGGTCATTACGACTAATTGAGGGTCATTATCCATAGCTAGGAGTAAGATAGCTCAAGATTATAAGCAGTTTAAAGGACTTACTTGAATATGCTCTAGGAAATAATTGTCGCCTTTCCCATTTGCATTTCACTGAGATAGCTGCAACTTAAGACTTATAATGACAGTACCTCTATAGCGATGAATGCTGATGGCAAGCTGAGCAGAATAAGCATATAGAAACAATCTTACAGCAGGATATAGAGTGGAGTGCACCCATGACATGATTGACTTTACTGCTTTTTCAGAAGAGTACTATATATTTCCAGTGTCTATATATGGAGTTGTAATTTCTGTAAAATAAAATTTCTACAGTATTTTAACAGACTTACTTACTAACAACATGTTATAGAGAAGCAATCAAAAGCAGTTTGACCCACTGTCTTATAGATTATAGAATTTATTTTTTTAGTTGTTCCAAAAAACTCTAATAATATATTTAACCTTCCAAAAAGAAACAATTATTGCAGAGTGTAAAGCATCCTGCTGAATTGGATATTGGTTATTAGATATAATGGATCATGTCATAGGGTTGTGTGTGAAAATTTAATGATCACTTCGCATTGTCCCCCTCTTTGACAGTGTGGGAGCACAGCATATTCTGCACACATAAATTCAATATCATTCTTCCTGCTTCACTCTGTCTCCTTTTTCATTTCTCTCCATCTCTCTATCTCTCTCAAGCATAGTTTATATACCGATGCTCATTATGACTGTTGTTATGACAGCCTCCCTTGCACTTACATGCACACACCCGCTGCAGTTATTCTGGTGATTTACAACCTCTTTCTTCCACAAGAGAGATGCACTATAACTGTTTTTGAGGGGAGCTTTATGTTCACTGTAAACTAGCCACAGTGGCACCTCCACAGGGCCTGTCCTGCTCAGCAAACCACAGCCTCCTCAAGCAGATCGGTGTGCAATAATAGGCTCTCAGGGATGACAACTGAAACATTCACTCAGTTTAATAACCAAACCGCAGGCCATTTAACACCCTTCTTTTTCCACCAAGGCTGTCCTTTATTTATTTATTTTTTTACACTATTTCTAAAGAGTATTTCAAATTTAAAAAGTAGACTTTGCCTTGTGGGAATTGTGGCTTTAAATGAAGTTTTTGGGCAGTGGCACAGTTTTGTTTTGTTTTTTGTAATGTTGCCTCTGTGCACCATTGGAGTGGATATTTAATCAAAAAGATACAATTTTAACCTTTAAATCAAAAGCATTGAATTAACTGTTTACAAATTATAATCAAATTTACACATAATCCCAACAGTTCAGAGTCTCAAACCTAAATGATCAGACTATGCAGATGAAACATCTGTTCATTGGAGCTCTGAATTTGAGCGTGAAAGAAATCACGATGAAAGTATCATCAGTGTCGTCTCTGTGTGTCGGCCACAATATTGTCATTGTGCAAATAGATATGGACCTAACTGTGAGTGCAACATAAGATCGAAAAAGTTATTATGTAGTGCAAAGAATTCTTTAAGAATGGAAAACTTGTAGAGAGTTGTAGGTAAAAATCACTGTTCTTTTCTTGTATTCCTTTATTAGTTAAGACTGTAATGCCACAAGAAGAGCATACACATTTACAACACATTAACAGACCCTTGTGTACAAACTGCAGTTCTACAAGGAACATTTGTAAAAAGGTGCAACACATAATTGAAATGCCATTTTCAGTGTCCAGACAAAAACATCTGTGTGTTTGTGAGGAAGAGGTACAAAAGCATTCCTAATGTTCCATGTATCATATGAATGCTTTTGTGTGATGCTGTGTCTAATAAGGGCATCAGAGATACTATAGGAGGGGAACATTTCAACAAGCATCTCTTCAGTCACACGTGCTGTGGTGCATAGCATGGCAGAAAGAGCAGAGTGTGAGCTGTTACGTAACCTCCAATCCGGGACAGAAATGTTGCAAAGGCAGCACGTGCAGTAAAGGATCTGTTGGCGCAAGACTGAGGCTACCCAGAAATTAGATGACTATAGTTATTTACTGAAAAGGCACAATAAAACATTTTAATTTTAATGTCTCTTTAACGTTGGGTTTTAGCATCTCTTGTTTCCAAAAGTCTTCCAACATGTTATTAAGCCTCCTAATGAACTTTTAAATGGAGATGCAGAAGTAAGGTTTCCCATTATTATTATTTTATTATTTTTATCATAAATTAAGTAAATAATGTACATTCTTGATTTATTGCCAGTAAGGTATTATGTGGATGAATCCATGTAAATGGCACAAAGACTATAATGAAATTATATGAAATGGGTGTTTACACAATCCCAAACTATGTGTGACCCTAAATTTACCAGTGTCACTCTGTTCCTATTCCAAGTCTAATTATAGTATTGGATGCTAGTATTGCCACTCTACTGTTTATGTCTTGAAAAACCCAGTTCCCAAACTCATGGTTGTCAGCACCCAAGCCAAATAAGGTACAAACAACAACAACATGACAAAACCGATTTAAGTCAGACAGCGGTTTTACTCTGAAAGCTGCTCCCATTTTCCTGACTCCATACAGTCGATATCCAAGCCTCTAGTTCCCAAGGTGCTGTTGGATGTCAGATCTGTAGCCAACAGGCATACTCAAAAATGCATGTTCAGCCTCTTTGCCAGGAAGTGGATGTGCCAGTCATGACAAAAAGTTCCCTGAGACAGCAAGTTTGTTTAACTTAGTTTTTCATGGATGATTGGTAGGCTTCTTACTGCAGTAAGCTACATGAGCATCTGACTGCTGGCTTGACTATTTTTAACGTGCCCCAGATTTACCAACAGGGAATTTTCTTGCAATTTATCACACTTCTTGTATTTTCTTTTTTTAAATAAATTATTAAGCTGCTCTATGAGTTTCAGGTGATGTGTGCACTGTAGATCAGATTTCCTTGTACATTTATTCATATATTCATTGCCGGTTACTGACAGCATAGTTTCTACCACAAAAGTACTGTACTACTGCTCTATACTGTAAAGTACAATATAGAATGATACTGTATTATTACAGCGGTAGATGTTTTTCACATCTACCGCTATGACTTATGGGTTTATTTTGACAAAACCAGTTTTTTACTGACAAATCCTCATGTTCAGTTTTGCAAGTGTACAGAGTTTGATCATTTATTCACCTGCTAGGCCACAAGGTCAGCTTTAATACAACATAAGTGGAAGGAAGCTGCAATGTTAGCTATATAAAAATATAAGATTAAATAATACAAATAAATAGTTCAATAGACTGAGCTGTGGACAATGCGGTGCAGTGTTGTATACAAACTTCGTGATAAACAATTGCATTCATAAATAAACAAATTGAGCAAACTGTGCTTCCATAACTGCAGCTCATATCACCATTTCTCTTTTTTTTCAGTAACATCCTACAAGTTGCATGTTCTGTGTGATGTAATGTTGGTGACATTTTACAGACATAGCAAGGTGATAGCAAGCCTAAATTAGCTGTGACAGAAATCACAGTCAGTGCTTGCTGCTCTTTGAATTTAAATGCTAAGATCACAGTCAACATCCTGGCTCACATAGTAGATTTGAGGGATTTATTTGATCATCTTTTTTTTTAAGGTTTGCTAATGTAGTTGTTTTTGCAGTGGTACATTTCCTGGCACATTACCCCACTAATTGCAGAAGTGAAATAAACAGTCAGCAGTAATTTGCATTGCACTCCATGCACCCTCAACCTTGAATGCTTGTAACAGGAACTCTCTTATCAAAACATTGCTTCACAGCAGAACTACTGCCCAAATCCAAAAGCCAGTGGCAGAAAAAAAAGGAATACCATTCAGCTTAATTCAGGTCACGCATAGAACTACAATGATCAAAATGTATAGAATTTATTAAGGGTTTTAACAAATTTTGAACTAAAGAAGAGCTCAGCTTTCCTTTGATAAGCTGAGCCCTTAGTTGTGTGGTAGGCAGGTGAGCTCTCTGTCTCATTACTAACAGTTACTGTTGGTTCTAGATTTCCACGTCTTAGGAGAACATTAAGCAAAAGCCAAAATCCTTTCCTGTTAGTAATTTCTGCAATTTGAATACATTCTGTGAGAGAGTGCGCTTTCTATACATTTCTTCATTTGACTTGACTGAGATATCTAGCGTTCCACTTTTGGGCTGAGCAAACAGTAGATGGGTGAATATGTTATGCAAGCACAACACAGCAAACCCAAACAGTTCTTAATCCCAGAAAGACAGCCACTGTCAAAGGAAATAGAGCATGTAGGAAATACTCGGTAAAACTTATTTTTTGAGGTTGCTTGGAGGTTATTTAGATTTTTCTCAAATATGTGGTCTCTCTTGCTTTGTCTTTCTCTCTCTCTTCTATGTATGAGTCACATGAGTCAAAAATACACAAACACTCGCATTAAACCAACTGGACATGCCACCGACATGTGCTATACTCCACAGCCATACTGACAAAAACATACACACACTTACACACCAAACCCGAGCCATCTTTCTCCCTCGCTCTCTTCCTCTCTCTGACACATACACACTCTTTCACACTATCTGTCTTAACCTCATGTTTCTATGAACAGAAGGAATTCCCAGTTGCTTTGTACTGAGGGTTTTTTGGCCTGTAGTGCTACTATTTCATTTGCTTTAAAGTGAACTTCATCCAATATTGAAGCCTGTCTAGTCTGGTCTAATCTAGGAGTTTGCATAAGAAAAGTCTTACAGACCAGCTGTGTAAAATGCTTGTTTTTTTGGGAGGAAGTAACCACCTCTTCTGTTGTTTTTCTCCATCTCTCTGTTTTATTCATCTTTCCTCCATGCTTCCCCAACTCCTTTCCTACCATTTTATCTTTACCCTCTATTTTCTTGCTCTTTTCTTTTCTCTGTCCTCCTTTGCCCGTCTTTGTGCACTTGCAGGACTACACATTGACAATGTACTTCCAGCAGGCATGGCGAGACAAGCGGCTGTCCTACTCTGACATCCCCCTCAACCTGACCTTAGATAACCGGGTCGCTGACCAGCTCTGGGTGCCTGACACCTATTTCCTCAACGACAAGAAATCGTTTGTCCATGGTGTCACAGTAAAAAACAGAATGATCCGACTGCACCCAGATGGTACCGTATTATATGGTCTAAGGTGAGATTTTAATCTCTTAAAATAACATTTTTGTCAACATAAGAACAAGAACTAAAATGTTATATGCACAAATGCTGCATGACCTTGGTAACAAATAATGACAAACATGTTGCACAAGAATTGTGTTTTCTTTTACTTCATGTTGTCAAATAATTCACACTTAATCCTTGTCAGCATACTTTCTATTTTAAACATCTTGAAAACATCCTGGAAAAAAGAAAATCTTGCAGGTGAGGTAACAGTGAGACAACCATTGCTGCACTGGACCAAGTCAGTAATTAGCTCATTAGAGCCAGATGAAGAAAACTACTGATGGGAGGTGCAACATTCCCCCTAAGCAAAAATGATAATGTTGAGGAAGTGACCTACTTGTGTCCTCATTTAAAAGACGTCTGCACATCACCAAGCCAAGCCTCACTAAAGGCTTGTGTAACACTAAATTCAAGTCTTTTGCATGCTCTCTGCATAATTTACCTCACCACCAAGTATAAAAAGCAGATGTACTTAGAATAGCTGTAGGTGTAAAGCCTTGAAAGTTCATCTGAAATTAAATTACTTTTTTGTTTCTTTCGAGATCCAGGGACGTTCAGTACTAACATTGCTCATTTGAAGGCTGATTAGATAGTCAGCTGCAGCACACTGAACTCTGTAAATGTCATTTCAGTTAGTTTAGATCTTGTTCTTCAATACCACTGCTAATAAAACCGTTTCTGTTGTTGCCTTGCCAGCTACACCTTTCTGAGCACATTGGGATTTTTTTTTCCCGTTACCCCAATGTTACTACATGTCAACTAGATTTGCACAAATGATGTTAGATTACTTTTTCTTCCTAACAATAGTTAAACATTTTCATGATCAAAGTGATTTTGATGGGGTTGACTAACACTGTGAGATGATTAAATATTTAAGCCATTAAATTTATTTAGCCTACTGAAAATCAAAGAGCATTAGGTGACAAATTATGAAGTATGATTGGTAATTTTTGCTGACAACGATGCTGTATGCGTTCAGCAGGATACTTCTCTACCTAAAAAACACCACAACTTTTGCAACGTTTTTTAAAACAAACTTTTAGGAGGGCAACTACTTTAAATATCTCAATGGTTTTTCTCCATGCAGGTATTTGATATGATAATATGACATAACCTAGCTCTTTCCCAGAGACCCGAAGCAGAAATCCTAGTTGCACTATATAAATTGATTGATCATTCCACTGAGTTTCAACCTCTCGGAGTTAACATGATGACCATGCGTTTCTTACTCCTCACTGATGTCTCATCATTTCATTTTGTAAATAGGCCTCTTATGCCCAAAGTCTATAAAATGTTATTGAAAATCATAACACTTTAATGGCTACCATGACGATGAACCGGATCTGCTCTGGGACGGTGAAATTTAATAGAGATTGAGAGAGCACAAGACAAAGGATGAGAGATGTGTTAAGAAGAGGATTAAAATGGAATCTTGCTATTATATTTTTCTGTGATACTCTTCATTGCTGTTGTTGGATAAAGTGGATGGAGAAGGAAGAATAAGACATTTTTTCTGAGATGAAGAAATGGAAGAAGAAAGCACTATGTGGAAAATTCTAAATAATGCATTGTCTTGTGCTAAAATCAGAATAATCAACAGTCAATTTTCATGGAAGAAATCCAAAGCTCTTATGCAAAAAAGGGAAAATGAAAGAAAATGGGATAAAAAAAACAACATACACAAGCTTTAGAGATGTATTGTTATATTTGTGAATTTGTCTATAAATACTCTAAATTTTGTAAGATTTTTTTCAAATGTTATGCCACATTGCATTATAGAGGACCTCCACTTTAACAATCCAATCACGTGGCCAATCATGAAAGAAAATCAACAAAATCATTTGTTCTTTTCAGCTAGGGAGATAGCTCAAAAAGGTTGTCTAGAGATGTTCGGGGTCAGGATGACTTTACCTGTATGTTCCCTGACCCTGAAGGTGCACAAAGGCTGGAGAGAATTCTCCTTTTCAAATTTTTTGAAGCATGGTTGAAGAACTAAATAGCAAATTGATCAAAGAGCCAAGAATAAACTCAGTATAATTTTAAAATGCTTTGAGTTTCTGCTGGTAGGGTTGTTGTTTTTTTTTAAATTATTTATTCAATAATTTTTGTGTGCTTGAGTGGTCAGTACGGATTGCAGCCCAGTGTCTCCAAGCATGTTTAACTGCAAGTTGTTAGAGCTGCACCATCAGATAATCCACTTCTCCTCCTTGTTTTGGCAGATGAAGTAATAATTATGAGCACTGTATCATCAGCAAATTTCAATGGCCTGATCGTAGGGTTCACTTAGCTACACTTCTTAGGTTATTATTGTTTTGTTTGCCCATCATATACTATCAATTGCTTGATTAATTATGCAGAGCAAGCAAAATATATCACTAGTAATCTTTTAAAAGTGTAGTGTAAGAATAATAAAAATATTTTAATTGACAAACCTTTCCTTTATAATTGGGAGGAAATGTTTTCCTTTGTTTGTTTTTAATTCATTTGTATTTAACAGTTTTGGACTGATATATTTCTCATTTATACTGTCTTATCTTGCACACAGTTCAATAAACTTTTCATATAATGGACACCTACCAGATTTAAACTTTGATGGATCGAGCAGCAGCCAAAAAGTCTCTGTTGCTTCAAAGCCAAAGTGCTTCATGTCTAGAATGTCTAAAGTGAACAAAACCCAACAGAAGAAAGCTCGAGGCAGTAGCAGATTGTGAAGGTCAGATTATACTGAGATAGAACTCAAATAGTACAAATCATTCTTGTGTCAGGTCATCCAAGTTAAATGCAAAATGAACAGCTATCAACACACTGATGCAATATCCAAATGGAAAAAAAAAAATCCATAATCACACGAAATATGGGTTTGAACGTTTCCCATCCACTGAAGAACTTGACACAAAGTGCAAATATTACTTTGGATGGAGTAGGATTAGACTGAAATTGGGGGAAGAAATCCATCACCTTTGACACTCAATATCATGTAAGTAGGATGACCAGATTTTTGCAAATCCTAAATTGGGTCATGGAATCTTGTGCAGGTCAGTGAGTGCTCATAAATCCACACAGCACATGCAGATACAGCATATTAATGCCCACTGAAGACCTACTAAAGCTGTGCAGTTATTCAATTTATTATGTTAATAAATTCAATTAGACTACAAAAATGTGTAGACACAAGCATGCATTAAGATGAAATTCATGCAAGTGGAAATTATTGTAGTCTGACATCAATTAAAAATATTTGAATGAAAAAATGTAACAATAATGCATAATAAAATCAGTATGAAAACATAGTGGCACGATGGACTATCAGCTTCTCTAGAACGTGCCCTCTATCTCTACAGCTCTATTTGGATAAATGGTTTAGAAAGATAGGTGGATGCAATTCAAAAGATTAGATTTAGGTTAGACTGGAAGCAGTCTGAACTAAGTCCATCATATATCTAACAAAACCCGTGACAGATTAATAAATTTTGGCTATTTTGTTATTATAGGCGCATAAAGATAAAACAGCAATTTCAGGCTTTATAAAGGCTTTTAAAAGATTTATTTCTAGATGAAAACAAGCCAGGTGCAGGGACTTCTGCAGTTTTGGCATATGAAGTCACAGGATGACCAAAATAAATATCCCTACAACCATGTTCAGTGACCTGTGGTGTTTCGGGAAGATGTACTGTCACAAAGAAAAATGCTTTGAAAATATAATTAAATGTAGCATCTGCAGATGTTTTAGAACTAAACCCACAATTGTTGCAGCTTTCAAGAAAAGCTAAAAGCTAAAATTGACTCCAGGGCAAATATTACCTGTGCAAAAGCAAATATAAAATAATTAGACTGCAAGCATTTTTGGGCTGAGAAACCAAAACAAGAGTTGGTGTTTTGACTTTGTTATATATAGGGAGTATTTGTTGGTAGATAGGGTGTTTATCACTGAAAAATACCCACCTTTAAACCCAGCTTTAGGAGAGCTCTTAGCATACACAACTAATGCCTGCTTGAGAATTAACAAAAAAATGTCTTTGAATATTAAGATTAAATGTTAATGTTTTACCTCGAGCATCCTACTTACTATATTTTCATGGACATCAGTGGGTGGAAAGCAGCTGGCTATGGGGAATGATGACTCTCTAAATGCTGTCATTATCTTAAATATCAAATAATGCAGCTCTGGTGCACAGCGCATTCACTGTTTCAATGAGCTCTGAGCTCTGCCAGCAATCGGAGTGGAGTATTTTGTTTATAATCACAGAAAATGGCTAGACTACAATTATGCAGGGGTACTCCTTTCCAAGTACAGTGCAAGGAACATTTACGATATTTTTCACTGAAAACCCCAAGTAAAAGGGACCTACTTCTCTGAGTCCTACTATTTTTTATGTATTTATAATTTAACTGTACTAAATTATAATGTTTTTGTACAATTGATTATTTGTTATGTTTTTGACTGTAAAAGTTCAAATGTTTCTGTTGCAACTACTATAAACTAAGACCAGCATAAATTGAGTACAAATAAGTGACTGAGAATATTTAAGTAAAAAAAAAAAGTAAATCATTGCAACGCATTAATCACTCATATTTATTGTGATTGTGACCAACAGCCCGCACATTTCTTTGGCCTGAAATCCAGTCTCTTCCCTTAAAGCTACTTGGCCCTGATTTGACCTCACAAGTTAGATCAATCCAGCAAGCCAATCTCTGAACACAGCTTGAAAAATATGGAGGGTCACTGCAGGTGATGCAACATATGGGACTTAGTGTGGTTGGCAGCTTTTTCAGGGAATGTTTTTTTTTTTTTTAGCAACCAGGGAGCGTAAGCAGACTGAAAAATGTGGCTTTGCATCATTTAATGGATGGAACAACTGGGGGAAATGAGAGGGTAAATGGAGAGCAAGACAGCAGTAAACATAGGCAATCTGATGCACACTTCTACAGTGTAACAGCTACGTAACATGCTCACACATTACCTCATAC